CCAGCTCTGCCTCTTCTATTGGTCGCCGTGGTACTTCTTCACCGACACGCAGCCGGCAGTGACCGCTGGGCCTGGGTGCTCAGCCACACGTGCCCGGAGGGTGCGCAGTGGCTGCCACGTCTCCTGCTACACTTGCGGTAGCAGATCCCCCTGGACTGCACTGCCTGACCCCATCCTTCATGCTGGATGAACTGCAGGGCTCCTGCTCGGGCCCGCCACCCCCAGCAGCCACCCCAGCCCACTGCAGCAGCCTGTCCCCACCACCACAGCCCAGTCCAGGCCATGGTGCTGGCCCCGCTGGACATGGCCTTCAGGAGCCCCTTCCTTTGCGGTGTCTGCAAGCCACCTGCCCTAGGCCTGGGCCCCAAACGCCGGGGGCCACCCTGGTCACCACCCCAAGCCCAGCTACCAGATGGAACCCAGAATCATCTGACTCAGAGAGCATATGCCACCTCGCCTGGGTCCTGAGTGGGCCCCACGTGGGCACTGCTGACCTGAGAATATGCCCCAGGAGGACCCACTGGCCACCCATAGCCCTTAGGTTAGGGGGTGGGCCACGTGAATCTCGCATCTCCAGGTTAAAGAGAGAGAGAGGTCTCATTAGACATTTGGGGGTAGGGGTGGGGGACGGGATGGGGTAGAGGTCAGACCATGACCACGGTCCCTTCCCAGGTACAGAATCTGAGGGAAGGTGGAGAGAGAAAAAAAAGGACACTGTCCAAACAGTCTCAGGCACCACATCTGACCTCAGAGTTTGCAAATAAAGGTTGAGTAGAGGGTGACAAGTCCATGCTCTCCTTTGGGGCAGGGCAGCCCCTGAGTCGCCAGGGCACAGGCAGTCTCTGGTTGGGGGCTCCCAGATCCCTGTGCCACACGTGGAAACTGTCCTCCGCCGACATCTCCCTCTCGGAGTCCCCAGGCGGTGGGGCTGGCGGGAAGGGTGTGGGGTCCCAAATATGGCCATGTGCTACCAACTCCAGAACCCAGCGCACTCTGACCCAAACTCCTGTCACGTTTTTCTTTTCCATCCTCTCAGATAAGTTATCTTTTAACATCAAGAACTAACAGAAGTGTGACTCGCAGATCACAATTCAGGTAGCCCATTCTGCCCACATCGGGCAGGTGCGCTGAGGTTCCAAACAGATGCTGTAGTTACGGGCTCCCACCCTCCCCCTGCCCCACAGGCCTTGACTTCCCCATCCATAGAGCGGGTTCTCCAGCTTTCTGGAACCGCAAGTGGATTCCCA